AGCGGGCGAGGATTTCGGTCCAGACAACGAATTCGGTTTCACTAGTGAAGCCCTTGAACAAGTTGAGAACACCGGAAGTCTTCTGATATCCAGCTGAAGCGAGAGCTCCTGCATCTGCGATCATTCCCGCACGATCTTCAACGGTAAGTAGGCCTTCCTTGGCAGCTTGACCTAGCTTTTCGAGTCGTTCCGGAGTGTATGATGTTCGATAAATGCTAGTATGGTCTGCATTCAGCTTGAAGAAATCTGCAGGGACCTGAATAGTATCTTCTCGCTTGTCTAAAACAAGTTCCTCGTCAACACCGCTCTTAGTGCGGAGACCCAAGAAAACCGGGTACAAAACTTCATCCTCTTCGGGCTTGACGTCTGCTGTTCGCAAGAAACGATTTTGCTTGACATGAATGCTCTTTCCATCTTCGTTCTCCGTAACACTTACAACAGGATATCCGACCTGTTTTGTCCAGATGTCCATAACTGCCGAGACATCCTTACCGCTCGCCTTGCTCAATGCATCCCAAAGATCACCGGTTTGTGTGTTGCCATAAGCATGTTTCTTCAAATATTGGCGGATTCCCTCCATAAACACATCTTCTCCCAAATAACTTGCAATCATGCGAAGGACACAAGAGCCTTTGGAGTATGAAATAGCGTCAAAGATTTGGTTGACTTGATCGGCTCGCTTGACTGGTACTTCAATTGGATGACTGCTTCGAATAGAATCGAGACCTAGGGCGCTTTGCAGGTTATCTGTCACGTAGTTTTGCCATACCTTCCATTCTGGATAGAAGATGTTGCAGGAATACCATGACATCCATGTTGCGAAACCCTCGTTGAGCCACAAACCATCCCAGAAATCCATTGTAACCAAGTTACCGAACCATTGGTGAGCCAACTCATGCTGGACGACTTCCGCAACTCGTTCCTTTGTAGACGCACCACTAGTCTTTTCATCGAAAAGGAGGTCAACAACACGGTAAGTAATCAAGCCCCAATTCTCCATGGCACCAGCGGAGAAATCTGGTATGGCAACCATATCCTACGAAGGAAGTTAGAACATTTGGAGCAGGAAAACTAATATAAGAACTTACCATCTTTGGTAGAGGGAATGGACTATCAAAAGTCTTCTCATAAAATTCCAGGGTTCGTGCTGCGAGATCCAATGAAAATCTTCCATGTTCAATGTCCTGGTTCGGAGGAGCATAAACTCTGACTGGAATTCTGAACTTGTCAGTCTCAATATAGTTGAGTTCTCCAACGATGAAGGCGAGAAGATACGTCGACATTTGTGGCGATTTATTGAATTTGACAGCCTTCTTGTTTCCCTCGACCTCAGTCTCCGAAGCAACATCCATATTGCTCAAGCAGGTGAGGTGCTTGTCCGCGACCAAAGTAATTGTGAACTCTGCCTTCAATGCAGGCTCATCGAAACAAGGGAAAGCTCTTCGGGCATCAGTCGGTTCCATTTGTGTTGTGGCCAAAATACCCTCGGATCCATCCGCATTCTTGTATGTTGATCTGTAAAATCCTGCCATCTTGTCATTGAGCTGGCCGGTGAACTTCATTTCGATTTGTGCCTTTGTCCCCTTGGGGATGGTTTGCTCGAAAGCAACCTTTGTAGTCTGGCTGTCCTCATTGTAAGAGACATCTGGAGTAGAGCTGTTGAATGTTAGATTTGTTGAGGAAGCATATTACAACAGCCTTTCAATCAATCACTGACCTTATAGCTTCAGATCCAGAGATGACTTTGGTGCTGTGAATCTCAAGCTCCAAGGTGTTTAGGGAAATAGAAGTAGTATCTTCAGCAACATCTAAATCGATTATGACAGTGCCCTCGTAGGTATGCTTCTGGAAGTCCGGCTCTAATGTGAGATCGTAGTGTCTTGGAATAACATTTGCTGGCAAGATCTCTCTTCCCTTGGTAACGTCCATTCCTGCGCTCTCTACCTCCTCTCCGGCATGTACACCTCTACACATCTTGTGTCTTCTATATGAACAATGGCGGATTGCCGAGGTGGTTAAATTTGTATTTCGAAAGTTGTTTGATAATTGAGAACGGGTTCTTGAAGGACTGAGTCTAAATTTGAGTAATCAGGTGAGCTTATGAACACTGCGTACTAAGATGATAGTGAATAAATCAAAAGCAACTTTGGGTTTAACTGTGTTGATCTTGCCTCAGTTGACCTGCTTGAGGTATCACGAGGGTAGGTAGATGTTCAAGCTTGTGCAATGAATGGAAGGAGCTCCATGGAATGAAAGAAATGGCGGGGTATAACTTACAATGAAGCTGAGCTTCGATACGAACTAATTGAAAGACTTTGAAAGGTTCTGCTAACAATTGGTAATCTTCTTTGTGCTCTACTTAAGGAAAGGAAAACACTGGCTGGCGGCCGAGTAAAAGAGGATGTAAGAGTATTGGAGACACGCATTGACATGGAAGAAGTGAGGGAAGCTACAAATACACACACGACGCCGAATGCTATGCTATGCTATGCTTTGCTATGCTTTGCCGTATGTACAAATATGACACGCACCACCTTTGCAACCTGGGCAAAGAATGAACAATCAAAATGAGTGGGAAGGAATGATCGAACTACCCACGATTGAGGAAGGTGGGGTCTTTCTGGGTCTGCAAGCAAAAGCTGTGAGGGATGCCAGTGGATAGAGAGAGTAAGTACAGTGGCAGAAAGTGGCAGAAAGTGCACAGGAGTGGCCAGGTGATGCCGTTTAGGACGAGAAGGATGATTCAATATCAAAGGTGGGAAAAGGGCTATAAGGTTAAAGCACCTGCTTGTCAACCTTCACTAATGCGAGTGAGATGTGAGATGTGAGACTTCAAACTTTGGAAGAAAGAATGGCAGCAAATAATCTCGTACAGTCGTACTCGTACTCTTCTATTCGTACAAGGATATATCTTCCAAAATCATCACAACTACTCATCATCGACTTATTTGATTCAGTTACTGTTTTGGGTAGCGGTGAGGAAGGTGTCAGATTGCATTAAGCCGCATTGGGTGATGTTCTCCATTTAACCATTACACAAAACTTTTCTTCTCGCCCTCTTCTTTTTCTTCCTTCTTCAAGCAACTTAAACGGTTCGAACAACATTATATCGGTTTTGCCCTACGATATGTTGACGTGCTCCATTATTTACTGTTAAGGTTTACTTTGGTTGTTGCAAGAAGAAGATTTACAACCACCGCAGGTTTGAGGCGACCAATAGCTTTCGAGCTTTGATTGGAAGTCATAGGAAGACGGTACAAACTTTTTGACGCAAGCCAAGTCAATATCTTTGGATGTTGATATTAAAATCCATATATGCTCGTAGCAGCTCGTAACAGTTATAAGTACGGGGAAGTAAGGTATCCTCATCTGCCATGGCTGTGAAAGCTTCCCCACGCTATTCTAGTCAATATTTTATTCAAATCTTTAGCTCTTTCCTCCTTGACCGGTGAATTCAGTGACTCTCTGTTCGATGCTCTCCGTTGTCGGGCCTTCATATTGTGCTCCAGCCTTTGACAGCAGCCCAGGTACCATTGATTATATTGTCCTTTATTATCTTGCATCTATGCATCCGACCCCTTATCGTCTGGCAGATCCTCCATTACACCAAAAAGTACCTTGAGCCAGAGACTGCATCCCTTGCATCCCACACTGATCTCACCATCTTCAGCTGCCTCCTCTAAATCTTGCTCTCGAATTAAGAACCCTCGATCATCTCCACATCTACAGCTTCTATACCATATACCATTCTCTTCTTCGACATTCAAATCATCCAAATCGACAACTTCAACACCCGTTCGGAAAACTTCTCCTTCCTTTTGTCCTGCCCCATTTATAGAGCGATTCTGTAGTCTCAATTCCTTGTCATATTGTGCTCGTAGTTTGGAGTCCGATAGGTGAGAGAAAGCCACGGATATTTGGTCAATAGTATAATAAACCGTTTGGGGTCTGTTTGTATGACATTGTTCTTGGCTTTGGGATTTGTCAGGATGATTTCGAAGAAGTGCGCGTCGATATGCGCTTCGCAAAGTTGCTACCGGAATGTGTGTTGCATTTTGAAGAGACGACGGAATGTCTAAGATCTCGTAATATGTCGATGTGCAAGTCATTGATCCATCAGGGTTGAGCTTTACTGTCCCCGTCGTCTTTTGTTTGTCCTTATGATTCTACGTTTTCTCTCTATGCGATCTCAAGGTTAACTATTGTGCATGTGAGGTGGGGCGATGCTCTTCATGCCTGAGGCGACAATATATCATCCGCCTTCTACTTTTGGTTAGCTTTCCGAGCTGGAATCTCTTGATCACATTTCATCGTAGTCATACATACCTATCTTTCATACAAATCTTTCTCGACCGTCCGAGATCCTCTGTAGCTATCTACTAGGTAGGTACTCACACAGCTCTTATTTGGAAATATTCTAGCGCAGTACAAAACAAAATATTATCCAATCAACACTTCATTATCTTTGTTTTCATGTCTACACAGATTGTGCCGAGGATGCATGGAAAACTCGTGCAGAAAAAGAATGTCTAGTGAATCAAGAGGACGCTCGTTTTGTAGAAGCACCTCATTGCTTTACAAAATAGACAGTACAACTTGTGCCAGACCCTTTTGTGGTATCTTGTCTGGGTTGGCCTCAAAGTACCACGGGCAGCAACAACTTGAGGTCTTCAGGATCATCCGCGCTGAATAGGATGTCTCTGAAGTGGTGGAAACTGTTTAGGCCGGCATATACGTAAGATTATACAATGATTTTAGTGTCGGGGTTTTGCAATGTTGTTCGCGCAGCCAAAGAGCAAAGAGTAGATGCAAAAGTGAATGGAAGCGTACCTGTTAAGGACTATGACAGAAAGATATTTCGATTCTTGAAATGGAGGTTCAGTCAATCTTACCCATGATCATCTACACGATATTATACTGCAAGCAACTGAAGGCGGGACATGACATATGTCTAAGTGAAGAGGATACATTTGTTCCTATTATAAGCTGCTTTCAGAAGTCTAACTAGATCGGTTGAGATCAAAATCCAAAACAACTACATCTCGAATTCCATTCTCTTGTTTGTCGGTTCTTGTAAAGATGGACAGATTCTCACCTCCTCCTTCCATTTCTTGTATCTCGACTGAAGGCTCGCCGTCAAATCCTGATTCACTCCATACAAGATCAAAGGATACTTGTCCGTCCTTACTATGCACTTTCACGATACTGAGGGTAGAATCTGTATTTCCAGGCAAAGCGAGATATATGTTATTCATACTGTCAACACATATGCTTCCTCTTGAGCCAATTTCGGTAGGTTTGTTTATGCCATCAGTTGGGATAGCATTCTTTGTCCAGCCCCCTAATATCTATTAGTTCAAAGTTCTCAACATAATTTGATCAGTCTGTGACTTTACCTGTATAATCACGGTAATAAAGTATCCACTGCTGTTCGCCCGCAGAATTTTCTCTGTTCAAAACCCAAAATCCACCCTTCCGATCCACCGCTTGAGCTTCTTGGTTCAAAATCCCACTTCCCATGGGAATCTCAAAGACTCTCGCCTTGGACTGCGGCAAGATGGTGTTTTCTTTCTTTCCATCCAGTACGGCCAAGGTTGTTCCATCCGAACTTTTCCATGTCTTGCCCATATCTTCCGAAGAAGCAAAATTCAGATCAAAGTTGTTCTCGGGTCCGTTGGGTCCGGCTTGTTGTTTATGCGCATCTGTGCCTGTGGAAGCTTCGAAGAGAATGAAGTTTCGATAACACCATGACAAATAAAGACGCGAATTTCGATAATCAAGACCATTTATATATGGACTGTTAGAAACACCAGTAAGGTGTTGACCTATATATGTATAAGTGGAAGACTTTGCCGAGTAGCGGTAAAGGATATCTGATCCTAATCCTGCCCTATATTCATGTTAAATTCATGTGCAGGTGCAGTTGTATCAGAACATACATACTGGCCAATACGATATGTCAACAACAAATCATCATCCACGTTCACGAACCGAGGATAAGTGACTTCGCCCATCAGTTCATTATGTGCAATGCCAGGAAGATGATCTTGCGTTTGCGAAAACAGAGATGCATTCCATACATTGGAATCATCTGGATGTTTTTCTGAATCTATACGATTTGAAATTTTAAATCTCAATCTAATATTCCTCAGCACTGCTCAACTGTTTTCTAATACTAATAACACACCTATCACAATGATGATCAAAAGCTATATGTATACTTCCATCTCCACTACAGATACCAACAGATATCGTATTATGTCCATCATCAACCACCTGTTCATAATCATGGAAACTCAATATCTCCCACTTCGAATGCGTAGGTGAGACTTTTCTTCTACCCAGATTCATCATACAAGCGTGCGGTTTCGTAGACGTAGGGTGATCGGTATAGAATGCTACATATTGCCATCCATTAACAGTGGTAATGGCGTTTTGTTGAAAGGAATTTGCATTGATTCTATGTATTCTTTTGGGATCCGGGCCGAGAATAGAAATACTAGGTTTTGGAAGTCCCATCATGAGATAGATATCTGATTAAAGTCAAACAATTTACTTCAAGAACGACTTTGAGAATAAAAGTCCCACTGCATCGACCTTCGATACTGACATAAATCTCACAACTGAATCCACATATACATACATATATACATCCCCACCCCCATCACGATACATACATACACACACGCAATACTGATACCTATCGAAAACACGATCCTCGGCCCCGACCCCAAAACCCCATGCATGAATACTCTCCCCCTCGAGATATCCCACCAATGCCCTGTTTTTTCGCATATCAACCCCAGTCGGTTCATCACCTGCCGAAGCTTGAAAATGGTCTACCCCGCAATCCCCGGATAAACATCCCCGATAAGCGAAGGGTGCGGTTTTCCCTATTGGTGTGGATTTGGTTATCGTGGGAGGATTTTCGGGTTTCTTAAGTTTTGTTTTGATGTGGTAGGGTATGATGGGATGTGATTTGCCAGATAAGTTGTTAAGTGGTAGGGCATGATGGGGTGAGATGGGATAGGATAGAATGGGATAGGTTAGCAAGGTAGCATTGCAGTTTTGATATGGTCTCTATGCAGAGACGGGGTGGAATAGTAACTTCGCGGTGAAACGGGATATAATACTCTTGTACATCCTATCTGCTTATTCCAACTATCTCGCATTCTCACATTCTCATCTTCCTCAGAATCTCTCTGTCCTGGCCAAAATGATGTTTCCAGCCAAAGCCCCTCGCGTCAATAGAGAGATTCTCGCGTCCACCTCTCATCTAACGAATAACCGTGGTCCTTGGTGGCATGATCGAGGATTGCTCAAACTCAATCTTCTTATGATGATACCGTTGATGAGTGAATATGTGCAGGGGTATGATGCGAGTCTCATTAATAATGTGCAGCAGTTGAAGAGTTGGCAGAATGGTATTTAGCTTCCTTTCTTTTGTGTTCGCTTAGTGCGAGGCTTTGCTTTCTTTTGGAGGGGGGGCTTTATGGTGGTGATGAAGGGGGATAGTGGGTTTGAGAAGAAGAGATGTGTACAGAGGGTAGTTTTATAATTCGTGAGAGAGTTATGTTAGACTGTGTTGAAATAAGAAATATAGCTGATGAAGGAATTTAACAGAATTTCATAACCCAAAGGGCTCACTCTTGGGTATTTTGTCGGCGAGTTATTGGGTGGGAAATGTCTTGGGAGTATTCTTTATCACGCCGCTGAGCGATAGATTTGGTAGAAGAATGGCGCTGTTCTTTGGCAGTGTAGTTGCAATACTTGGGACTGCTCTTTGCACCGGGGCCATCAATGGTATGTTTGCTTCATCTTATTGATTTGCGTGCTAGAAAGAGGTGGAATATGTAGAAAGTAGAGATATGATAAAATAGAGAAAAGATATACGGCCGAGCATTGTGAAAACAAAGGCTAATGAAAACTTAGCTGGTATGTTCATTGTCGGCAGACTTCTGTTAGGGATTGGAGGAGTGGTTGTTGGAGCCATTGGACCTGTACTTGTAGCGGAACTTGCATATCCGGGTAAGCTCTCCTGAAAGGAGCCAAGTTTGATTTGATTTCGCCATGCGAGAAACTAATGCAGATAGATCACCGTGCAACCGCCACTGCCCTTTCAAACACCCAATACTCAATGGGCTCGATCATCGCTGCCTGGGTAACTTTTGGTAGGCTCTTTTGCTACAGTCTACACATAACAAGAGCAACATACTAACGACAGATAGGTACATTTCGATTGAACTCCACATGGTCATGGCGTATTCCCTCAATCTTTCAAGCTTTGCCCTCTGTCGGCCAGGCACTCGGTATTTTCTTTCTCCCCGAATCACCTCGTTGGCTTGTGAGCCAGGGTCGTGAAGATGCTGCTTTGGATGTACTGTCCAAGTATCATGCCAATGGAGATCGGGAAGATGAAGTCGTACAGTTCGAATACAGGGAGATAGTCGGAACGATCGAGTTGGAGATCTCAGCAAAGCAATCGAGGTGGAGTGAGATGTGGAGAGGTAAAGGAAACCAATGGAGAATGTTTATTATGATTGTGAGTTTCAAATCCTTTATATTGTACTTCTTCGAAGCGACACGGCAACGTTGAAAATGTGCGAAATGTACTGAATGTTGATAACAATCCATAGTTCTTTGGAATCTGTAAGCAATGGTCAGGAAATGGTGTAGTGTCCTATTACTTACATACAGTGAGCACAGCTCGAGTTCAATCTCTTTGCTAAAACTGACAACCTCCAGATGCTCGACGACGTTGGAATCACAACTACATTTCAACAAACTCTTATCACTGCAACCTCCCAAATGTTCTCCTTTGCTTGTTCTGTCGGCTTTGCGTTTCTACCCGCTAGAGTAGGTCGTCGACCCCTTTTGCTCTGGTCAATGGGTCTGATGTGGCTTGTCTTTACAATAATCACCATCCTTACTGGTGTGTTTACTCGCACTGGATCCAAATCCGCTTCGTATGCTTCGGTTGCTTTTATATATCTGTATAGCGGGGTACACAACCTGGGATGGACAGGTGCCATGATGCTTTATGTGGTTGAAATTTTGCCGTATACGTTGCGTGCCAAAGGTATTTCGCTATTTTGGTTAGTCACGGGCTTAGCGGGTGCATTCAATACCTATGTGAACCCGTTAGGTCTTGCAAGATTTGGTTGGAAGTTCTATTTTTTCTACGTGGCATGGATTGCCGTCGAATTTGTCGTGGTGTACTTTGCTTGTCCTGAAACGAAGGGAACAAGTCTGGAAGATGTGGCTTTAGTCATTGAGGGAAGCGATGCTAAAGTTAGCAAGATGAATCCAGTGAAAGAGGCGGTAATAGAGAAAGAAGGTGGAGCCATGGAGCACGTTGAGGAGAGGAGATGAAATAGTGACTGCGGAAGTATGCACTGAATATGTTGTATACCTACTATTTATACCTACTGTGTATGCTAGGTAGAGTATCTTGATGTCGATGATAGTATAGGAGATAATGCAATCACTGGCTGGATCTATTGCGCTGAAAGTCAAATTTTCAGAAGAAGGTGTTTGTCTTTCCCCAGCGATGTTGTCCCAAAAACAGCAAATTGAGAAGTCTTCTAGAAAGATGTTTTTGCAATTATATTATGAGGTAAATGAATGAGTAAGTTTGGTCGTGATAAATCATAAAGACACGAACGAAGTCTCATATTAACAGTAATTTCCCCAGTATATTGAATACCTAGGTAGGAATATAAAAGTCATGGTAATATAACAATACTTGAGTGTATCGACATAATTTGTGCTACAAAGGTGAAGTTTGAACCCTTTCTCAAATTTTCTTATACCCACTTACCTTATATCCCTCCTCACCAACATTGATTGATTATTGACCATTGAACTAGACTGCAAACCTCAACCCCAAGAAATCACCAACTTTGCGCGTACAATAAACTATCATAATCATCACCGACCTTTACCTGGATTACAATTCATCTACGAAACAGATTTTCCCCCATATTTTTGACAAGAGTTTGTTTGCCACAACGATCGTCTCTCTCCTTGATAATGGTAAGTTTCTCCACACAACCCTGACTGTCAAAGATGTCAACCAAAATAGACGAAACAAAATGATTAACATTTATAAAGGCTCCCAAGAACCTACCACCCGCAGCCAAGCAAGCAAAGATTCTGGAGTGGTTTCGAACCTCCATGGGAGTCTATTCCTTTAAAGAACTTGAGAAACTACTCCCATCTGTCGGCTCGATCAATGGCATGCTAGTGAAAGAATACATCCAAGCGCTCACAGACGAGAATTTGATTCGTGTCGAGAAAATCGGAAGTGGCAATTGGTATTGGTCATTTACCTCAGATGCCAAGAAGAGCAAAGAAAATCTGATCAATAAATTGAAGGATGAGGAAACTAAACTGTTGGCTTCTATTGCGGTGGCTGAACAAGAGGTTAAAAAGGAAATGACAAAACGTCAAGAGGACGATGAAATGCTCCTTGATGGTGGATCAGACAGACACGCTTTGATGGACGCTTATGAGGCTCTTGTGAAGGAGAACGACGCTCTTGATAAGGAATTGGATCTCTACAGTGATAACGATCCTGCTGAGATCTTTCGAAAGATGGAGGAAACAAACAAACTTAAGGAGAGCACTTTAAGATGGACCGACAACCTTGGATCACTTGAATCTTTCTTGGCCAGCTTGACGGGAGACCGAGCTCAAGCTGGAGAAATCATGTATCGAGCATGTGGTGATGACTATGCAGTCGGGGAAGGTTTGAAAGAATTAGTTGTCCCAAATTAGTGGACCCTTCTTAGCTCTACTCGCATGGACGATTTCGAGTTATCGGAATGTGATATGATGGAAATGGTATCACTGGCTTGCGATTATCGTTACTCGGTCTGGCCGGTATAGCTTCATGTTTTACGGTCGTCAGCTTTTTACGAAATATGATATGTAGGACAGTGTGATCAGATATCAAGTGGTTTGGTATGCATGGATGTAAACCGTTGATCAATCCGAACATTAACCTTAATCAATCGATTGCTTGAGAGCTGTATGTTTGTTCGTTTGTTATTTCCAAGTCGAAAACTTGATGATACGTTGATGAAACATTATTCATGTTACAGATGTGACATGTACGCAAACCCCAACATCTCCACTTGGCCACTTGAAAAACTTGCCATATCATATGCAAGTGCAGCCCAAAGCGGGAAACTACCTGGCAAGGACTAGACAAGCTTTTTTCCTAATCTTAGGCTAATCGCGATTTTCGAGGGACCAGCTGGGCAACAATCTTCAATGTCACAAATGGGACTCGGAGATTTAACCAAATTGTACCCCGCACCGAGGAATCCACCAATTAGCCCAATAGACCGATGAAGTGTCACTGTGTTGCATCAAATATATCCTCTTTCGCTTCTCGGGTGCCCTATCACCCCCTCCAACGGTTCAACCTTCGATACAAATTGCTTCATATGGCCGAGTGCATATACTCGAAAACCCGAATCCGTGATAGTGCTATGCATGATGAATAGTATACC